TTCAGTGAAAGAAATGTCTCCTGCTGGCAGAGTGAACAGGAACTCCTGCTTCCTCTCAGCTCCCTGCCCAGGTCCCAGAGCCAGCTAGATTGGATTGCAGGCCTAAAACAAAACTTCTTAATACAAGAGATGAATCCTCGCTGCTAAAGCAATGAATCCTGCACAAACTGTCAGGCTGGCCCATTTGCATTGTACGATTACAGTAAGCATCGCTTAGCAAGATCGGCACTCAGCGTCTACGATGCCTTGTCTGCCAGCAGCAGCCTGCTTTGAGCGCTCTTAGCCAGGTGTTCCCCTCTGCCCATGCAGATGTGTTAGCACCTCCCGTATGCTTGGTTAGTGTTTAAAAAAACATGCTCTGCATTTTTAACCAGTTTTTATGAGGCCTTGTGGGTTATTGTTATAAAGCACCAGGTGCATTTATAGGATGCAAATAATGAGAAGCCAAACACACTATAGCCTCTTATTTCGCTCCCCCACATGCGTATGTATTAGCTCTTGTGCCACTGCCTAATCACCTCTTTCCTCTTCTTCCTGTAGTGGCTGAAGGATCCTGGCCCTCGTAATGAGAAGAGGACCCTCTTCTGTGACATGGTGTGTTTTCTGTTCATTACTCCCCTGGCCGCAATCTCGGGCTGGCTGTGTCTTCGTGGTGCCCAGGATCACTTGCAATTCAACAGCCGGCTGGAAGCCATCGGACTGATAGCACTTACTATTGCACTTTTTACTATCTACGTCCTTTGGACACTGGTGAGTGAACAGCAACATGCAATAGATGCCAAGTGCCACCCAGTACCTGAGCCCAGGGCCCTGTTACATTTAAAGGGGTTTCTCAGTTACAGGAATTCAAAGCAGAGTATCCCAGGAGGATGGTTTATGTTCCCAGAGCTCAGTCATGGCTGTGTCTGCACTTCCTCCATAGCTGCCAAGGGGCAAATATTTGGTTGTTCCCATTAAATACAAATGAATGAAAGTTTAAAATGTAACCTGCTGAGGTCAATGACACTTGAAAACGAGTTTCTGCCCGTGCATGCTAACTCACTGCACATCATCAGGAACGTCTGCAGATGGACATTAGGGCAACATGCCCTTTTGGTGTAGTGTGTGCAGTGTGGGATGTAGAAGTGGACAGACCAAGCCTGACATTAGCATGGGGACCGGTGTGGTTAGCGAGCATGGGGAGAGGAGTAAGAAGCCCAGCTGTTCTTTGTCTTCCTGTTTTCAAATAAAAATCCCCGAATCTTGGCACTATGGTAAAAACAATACTGTGGATAAAATATTGTCTGAGCCACCCAAAGAGCATAGGAATCTGCACTCCTGTCAGCCTGGTCAAAGGCTCTATAAAAGATATCAGTGAGGTATAGTCAGGCTCTGTCCAAGAGCAGCACTGTTATGGCGAAGAGGGAAAAGGAGCACTAGCCTTTAGAATGGTTTGTGGGACTCCTCTTGGAGATCAGCTGGGGTCACTGAAATTCCAGTAGGAAGCTATCAAAAGGATTTCTTAAAAGCTCTGAGAAAATGGCCAGGGGCCACAAAGTGCTCTGTTTAAAAGTCAGACTCCAGCGAAGCTGGAGGAGACCTGCCTTCCTCTTCTCACTTGAAAAATTGTAACAGTAAGTCTCTCTTGTAGCAGAGCAGTCATTTCTTCTTCCATTGTAGGTGTGTGTGCTCGCCACATGCACCGGTGCTGGAAGTTTTTTCCTCATTGGTATCCGTAGGGGACCGGCTCTGGCACCCTCTAGAGTGGCGCGCGTATGCACTGGTATAAGGGGCGCTGCCAGCCCCGTCCCTCCCTCAGTTCCTTCTTACCGCCAGTGCCCCGTGGCTCCCTGTGCTCTATCAAGTTGCTCTCTTTCAGTAGTTGTTTGAACTTTTATTGTGTAAATAGTTGTAGACAGGGGTTAGTGTATTTAGTTATTCATAGTCCCCCGAGGGACTGAGCCGCTCCCCGGGCTTCAAGCTGTGCAATCACTGTAAGAAACCTATGCCAATCAAAGATCCACATCTTGGTTGTTTGAATGTCTGGGTGAGTCCCACATTCGTGAAAAGTGCTGTATTTACAAAGGATTCAAGCTTTGGACCAGAAAGGAGAGAGACATCAGGCTCCATGCACTCCTCATGAGGTCTGCTATTGCACCACCCTCGGAGCCTGCACATCTGGACTCGGTGCCAGTACTTTGGCATCGACAAGAAGTGTGTCCCCAGCACTGGCTGCCTCGCGACCCCAGTCCTTGTCACCGGTACGGGACAAAAGGCACAAGGAAGGGACACTCCGCAGGGTCCCGTAAGGGTAAAGATAAGGGAAAAGAGGAGCCTGGACCGAATTGGGCCATCTCGCCATCACAGGAGCATAGCCAGGTGGCAGCCTCGCCTATTGGGCTTAGTCCATCCCGTGACCTGCCTCCTACCCCAGGGAGTGGTAGAGGCGTGTGGTACCTCATGGTTCCGTCCACCCCAGAAGCCTTTTAAGCAGCAAAAGACATCTTCTCTCTCCAAGTGCCGCCTATTCCTCAGGAAGAAAGGCTTAAGGACCCCTCCTGCCCACCCGTTTCTGAGGGAAAGCCCTCAATGGCACCCCTGCAGAAGTCACCCCCGCGGCACCGTACCCCGGCCCACTTGCCAGGACCAGATTGCAGACCCGCGACAACTCAGCAGGTTCCCGGCGATCGCCGAGCTCCAGGCACCAATCTCTGGGATCCACACATCGATCACCAGATCTGCGGGACTGGGCCACAGAGGTGCGCCACCGGTCCCCAGAACTCCGGCAGCGGTCACCCGAAAGGTGCCACTCCCTGGTTCACAGGCGCCGCTCACCAGAGCCCCACCTGGAGTCTCAACACCGCTCTTTGGAGAGACACTGGTTTCCACAGCCCCGGGCACAGTCACCGGAGCCCCATCGCCAGTCACCGGACCATTGCCGGTCACCGGAATCCAGACGTCAGTCACCGGAGCGTCATAGACAATCTCTGCGCTCCTGATCCCGGTCACTGGAGCCTGCGCACCATTCCGGAAGCGGGTGGCGTCGTTCTCCAGATTATTACCAGGCATATGAGTAGTGCTGCTGATTTCCGGATATGCGACATAGTTCAGTGGGGTCCCGATACCACTGCCCAATTGGCAGGCACAAGACCGCCAGACATAGTGGGGAAGCCTACCCTACGGTGGCGCCACCGTGGTCACCAGAGGAAGACTGTTCCTCCTTCCTTGGGCTATGAGAGTAAGGAATTGATGGCCCCCAAGGGACCAACTGCCACCTGCCCAGCAAGCGGGTTCTTCCCAGGCATGCGGCCGCAGGGTCAGTGGCCTGGGCCCTGGCAAGTCTATAACACATGGGCAGTTCCCCAGGCTGGGGGACCTCAGGCCCAGCGCTCAGTCTCAGGGGCACTGGAAGAACCTTCAACCTTAGTGTCTCGACCGGCCACGGGCTCGGATGTCACATCAGTCCAAGGGGCCCAAGAGCTACTTCCTCCAGTGGACGTGGTTCGCCAGGCAGTGGGGGTTCCCCGCCCCTCTTCCTGGGCTGGCCGCTGCCGCCTCATTGCTTGATGAGGCAGTAGCTGGCCCACTGCAGACTGATGACGTCAAAGCCCACCAGGAGCTGCTTAAACGGGTGGCAGCCAACCTGGGACTGCAGGCGGAGGAGATGTCCGAACCCACGGACTCCCTATTTGATGTCTTGCGGCAGCAGCCCCGGAAAAGGTGGCTCTATCCGTGCACGATGGGGTAGTAAAAAATCGTAAAAGCCCTGTGGCAGACCCAGGGCCAGTGCAAGGATATTTCGTGCCCTAGATGAAACTTCCACCTTGCGTCCCCCCTCCGGCCCAGGGAGCCAGGGCCGCCCTAGCTATTTTGGTGCCCTACACAGCCCAGGCCTCTGCAGGGGGGCTGTGTGGGGCCCCGTCCCAGGCCTCCACAGGATGGGGGGGGCTGGTCCCAGGCCTACAGGGGGGAGTGGGGCTGGCCACTTCCTGTGGGAAAGGGAGTGACCCAGCCCCAGCCTGCTCCGCTCCCCTGCCTCCCAACCGTGCCGAATGCGAGTGCAGGGGGGTGGTTCCCCCTCCCCCCAAGCCTGGGAGCCAGGGGAGCGGAGCAGGCTGGGGCCGGGTCATTCCACTTCCCAGGAAGTAGTCAGCCCCCCAGCCTGCTCTGCTCCCCTGGCTCCCAGGCTTGGGGGGAGGAGGGAACCGCCCCCCCAGCACTTGCGGCTGGGGCCGGGTCGCTCCACTTACCATGCAGTGAGTGCAGGGTCGGGCCTGGCTGCAATCTTCAGGGGAGTGGGGGCGGGGGTGGGGGCGGGAAGAGGTGGGGTTGGGGCGGAGCAGGGGCGGGGCTATGGGGAAGAGCCAGAGAGCCCCCCCTGCGGCAGCTCCCAGCCCTGCGGTGCCCCCCTCCACCCGGGGAGCCCCCCCGCGGTAGCGCCCTGCAGCGCCCCCCCGCCTCCCCTCCGCCTGGGCAGCCCCCACTGTAGCAGCTCCCCGCCCCAGCTCACCTCCGCTCTGCCTTCTCCCCTGAGCACGCCAGCACCGCTCCACTTCTCCCGTCTCCAGGCTTGCCGCGCCAAACACCTGATTGGCGTGGCAAGCCTGGGAGGAGAGGAGAATTAGAGCGGGAGTGGCGTGCTCAGGGGAGAAGGCGGAGCGGAGGTGAACTGGGGCGGGGAGCGGTTCCCCTGCATGCCCCCCCCCCCCGCTACCCCTACCCCAGCTCACCTCCACTCCACCGCCTCCCCTCAGCATGCTTTTTGGTGCCCCCAACCACTTGGCACCCTAGGCAGCCACCTAGTTCGCCTAGTGGTTGCACCGGCCCTGGGTAGACCCCATCATCCCTGCCACCCATTTCTAAGAGGGCAGAGTGCAAATACTACGTTTCTGCAAAGGGGTTTGAGTACCTATATACACAGCCCTCTCCCGGGTCTCTGGTGGTCGCGGCTGCCAACGAGCGCGACAGGCAGGGGCAGCCCAGATCGACCCAAAAAAATCAAGATGCCGAACGACTTGATCTGTAGGGCAGGAAAATTTATTCAACAGCCAGCCTACAGCTTCGCATCGCAAACCACCAGGCTCTGCTCGGCAGGTATCACTTCAGTGTATGGCAGTCCATGGCCAAGTTTGCTGATTCACTCCCGGAGGACACCAAATGGAAGTTCGATGCCATACTAGAGGAGGGCAGGGCAATTGCAAGAGTCTCCCTCCAGGCCACCTCAGATGTGGCAGACTCTGCAGCCAGAGCGATGGCCTCTGTGGTGGCCATGAGAAGGGCATAATGTCTTCAATCATCCAGTCTGTTGGCAGAAGTCCAACAGTCCATTCAGGACCTCCCGTTCAACGGCTCGGCCCTGTTTGCTGAACAAACGGACAGCAGATTACACGGCCTAAAAGACTCGAGGGCCACTCTTTGCTCGCTGGGCCCGTACACTCCGGCCCATGCTAGAAAGAGATTTAAACCTCAGCAAATGCAGAGGTTCATGGGCCAGACCAGAGTGGAACCGTACTGCAGAAAGAGATGGGGATATAGGCATTGCCAAAGCCAGTCACCTGCAGTGGGGCCGCATTTGGGCTCGAGCCGTGCCCCTCACAAAAACAGGCAATCATTGTGAGGGGACGTTCGAGGGCGACCTCCCAGCCTGCAACCAGGATCTGTCTCACCCTTTATTTTCCCACCATTTGTTATCTTTCCTTCCCGCTTGGACCTCCATAACTACAGACCGCTAGGTCCTCAATACAGTGGCAGCGGGGTCTATCCTCCAATTTGGTTCTATCCCCCCTTCCAACACCCTTCCCCGTCCCTTCTCAGGGACCCATCTCACGAGCAATTGCTCGCCTAGAAGATGCAAACCCTCCTGTGTCTGGGCGCCGTGGAGGCAGTTCCAGCAGAATGAAGAGGGAAAGGTTTTTACTCCCGGTACTTTCCCATTTTGAAGGCCAAAGGAGGGCTACGGCCATCCTGGACCTGCGAGACCTCAACAAATATCTCAAGAAGTTGACGTTTCGCATGGTCTCCCTGGCCTCCATCATCCCCTCCCTGGATCCTGGAGACTGGTATGCCATCCTCGACCGAAAAGACACTTACTTTCACATCTCAAAATTTCCCGGACACAAGAGATTTCTACGTTTTGTGGTCGGTCAGACACATTACCAGTTCGCAGTGCTCCCATTCGGCCTAGTAACAGCACCAGGAGTGTTTAGAAAGTGCATGGCAGTGGTTGCAGCTTACCTCAGACATCAGGGGGTCCAGATCAATCCCTGGCTGGATGACTGGCTCATTAAGGGTTGCTCCCACAAGCAGGTGCAGTGCAGTATTGAGGTGTTGCAAGCCACTTGTCATGCCCTGGGCCTGTTGATAAACAAACAAAAATCAACATTGGTCCCTGCTCAGAGGATAGAGTTCATCGGAGCAGTCCTCGACTTTACCCAAGCCAGAAGTTCTTACCACAAGCCAGGTTCAGAGCAATGTCAGATCTGATTGCCCAAGTCATCGCACACCCAGTCACCACAGCTCAGGTCTGTCTCAGACCCCTAGGGCACATGGCTGCGTGCACCTACATACTCCAGCATCAAAGACTGCGGCTGAAGTCCCTTCAAATGTGGTTGTCATTCCACAGCCAGACACCCCTGGGAGGGGTTCCTCATGATCCTGGCCCAGTTACTCACCTCCCTCCAATGGTGGTGCAACACGAATCCGGTGATGGAAGGGGTTCCATTCGTGGCTCCATGGCCCACAGTGTCCCTGGTGTCGGATGCGTCCAACCTCGGCTGGGGAGTGCACCGTGGTGCCCTCAAAACTCAAGGACTATGGTCATGGGAGGAGCTGTCGCTTCACATAAAGGTCAGAAAGCTCAGGGCCATTTGCCTGGTGTGTGAAGTGTTTCTCCCCCCCCATCTATCTGGTCGAGTGTAACGATGTAAATAGTGGTTAAAAAAAGTAAACGTTTAAACTTTTAAAATTGTACCAGTTAAATGTTTAACCATTAGGCTCTGCTGCTGTCCTACGCACCTGGGATCCTGGTTGCGCCGCGTCCCCCACGCAGAGCCCTGGACGCGGGGCCGGCAGCCAGGATGCTGGGGCACAGGTTGGCAGCTGAGACTCTGGGCACAGGAGGCCAACAGCCAGGGTGCTGGGGGCCAGCAGTGGAGTCCCGCAGCAGTTTAAACGTTAAGCATCAGTCTTATCGGTAAGGTATTATGGTTATCGATTAACCATGTAACATTTTACATCCCAAGTCGAGTGTGGTGCAGGTACTGACAGACAACGCGGCCTCCATGTTCTGTGTCAACATACAAAGGGGGAGCAAGGAAGCCCTTCGCCTGTGGGACTTCTGCATCCAGCACACTATCCACCTGGAAGCCTCAAACCTCCCTGGTGTCCGGAACACGCTGGTGGATCGCCTCAGCAGGTCCTTCTTCTCTCACTACGAGTGGTCCCTCCACTCAGAGGTTTCCCAGATGCTCTTCCAGAGATGGGGAGCTCCCCAAGTGGACCTGTTTGCCAGCAGACAGTACAAATGCCACCAATTCTGTTCACTACAAGGCCTCGACAGCAGTTCGCTGTCGGGTGCCTTCCTTCTGTCATGGTCAGAGGGTCTCATGTATGGCTTTCCACCAGACCTGCTAATCAGCAGGGTCCTTTCCAAGATCAAGAGGGATCAGGCATAAGTCATTATGATCGAACCGGCCTGGCCTCGCGAGCATTGGTTTGGCACTGTCATGGACTTGGCAGTGGCAGCCACATGGACTCTTCCTGGCCATCCGGACCTGCTCTCTCAGGATCACAGACGGTTGCTGCACCCGAACCTCACTTCTCTCCACCTCACAGCATGAATGCTGCGTGGCTGAGCCCCAAGGAGCAGGCCTGCTCCCATCAGGTTCTTCTGGAAAGCAGAAAGTCCTCCACTAGAGCCACCTACCACATGCATCCGACAAAGTGGATATTCACCCACGACAGCTTATGCTCCAATATGTCTGTTAGTCTATAAGGTGCCACAGGACACTCTGTCGCTTTTTACAGATTCAGACTAACATGGCTACCCCTCTGATACTTGACTACCTTGCGAAGTGGGAACACTTCTCTTGCTAGGCTTTGGAGCGGAATATTTCCCGTTAGTGTCTCTTTACAATCCATCCTGGACTACCTCCTGCATCTAAAGCGCCAGGGCCTTGCCATCGATCAAGATGCACTTGGCAGCCATATCAGCCTTTCATCCGCACGTCCAGGGAAGATCAGTATGCTCACATAAGATGATCGGGTTCCTCAAGGGTTTCAAGAGGCTGTTTCCTCCGGTCCGGGATCCGATTCCCCAATGGGACCTCAATCTAGTCCTTTCCAGGCTTACTTGTCCTCCATTCGAGCCTCTTGCTCTCTCTCTCTCTCACACCTGTCATGGAAGGTCGCATTCCTTCGGCGAGGCGAGTCTCCGAGATTAAAGCCCTCACTTCGGAGCCCTCGTAATCGGTGTTCTACAAGGACAAGGTGCAGCTGCAACCCTATCCTGCCGAAGGTGGCGTCGCGCTTCCATGTCAATCAGGATATCTTCCTCTCCGTGTCCTGTCCCAAGCCTCACAAGACCAACGAGGACAGACACCTGCATGCTCTAGATGTCAGGCGTGCCCTGGCTTTCTACTTTGAGTGCATCCAGCCCTTCCACAGATCAACTCAGCTCTTTATTGCAATAGCTGACAGGAGGAAGGGTCGTCTGGTGTCCTTTCAGAGGATTTCAAACTGGATCACCACCTGCATCCGCACTTGTTGCGAGTTGGCGCAGGCTGTACCTCCACAGATAGTGAAGACTCATTCGCCTAGAGCTCAGGCGTCTTCGGCTGCCTTCCTGGTGCATGATCCTATCCAGGACATCTGCAGGGCTGCCACATGATCTTCGGTACATACGTTCACCACGCACTACACCATTACCCAGCAGGCCAGAGATGACGCTGGATTTGGCAAAGCTGTGTTGCAGTCGACACGGCCATGAACTCCTGCCCGCCTCCAGAGGTACTGCTTGGGAGTCACCTACAATGGAATGGACATGAGCAATCATTGAAGAAGAAAAAACGGTTACTAATCTTTCATAACTGTTCTTCAAGATGTATTGCTCATGTCCATTCCATGACCCACAGTCCTTCGCTGCTGTCGGAGTTCTAACTAGAAGGAACTGAGGGAGGGAGGGGGCCGGCAGTGCCCCTTATACCAGCGCATACACATGCCACTCCAGAGGGCGCCAGAGCCAGTCCCCTACTGATACCACTGAGGAAAAAACTACCAGCACCAGTGCATGTGGCGAGCACACACACCTACCATGGAATGGACACGAGCAACACATCTCGAAGAACAACAGCTACGAAAGGTTAGTAACCGTTTTTGCTTACTCACAGTACGCAGTGTTCTCTGTTATAGCAGAGCAGCCTAGCAATACTGCCTTAAAATTGTCTGTCACTGCCTTGGAGTTAACAAGGCACCATAGACTACTGGGAATCTGTAACTGACATTGTTTCTGGGCTCTCTGCCTCAGCTGTGCATGGGATGCTCTGGGCATTGTTACTGGGAACAGGTTCTTCATGCACGCTCCCCATTTGCCCACCTCCAGGGCATGTTGAAGAAGTCAGTCAGGAGCACATGGCCTGAAAGAGGGGGAAAATCAGTCTGAATTTGACAGCTAAAGGCAGTGTCATGTCATGTTGTATCTGTGTGCCCACCCCCAACCCCTCTTTCTGAAACACAAAGAACTGACCAAAGTCTCGGGCATAGTTCCCAGCCTTCTTTGGTTGGAGCCTTCCCCTCCCCACATAGATTGTTGCCCCCTTTCTTCAGTGTTATGCCCCTCACTGTGTTGTGGTTCCTCCGTTTTCTGTCCAGTTTCTCTGTGGGTTTGTGGATGTGGCTCTTTATTTTGTTTTCATTCTCCCTCTCCATCCCTTTTCCACTCCCCAAACACACACACGCTGTCTCTGCTGCCGTATGGCCAGAAAGGGAGAAAATTGGAGGTGGGGAGCAAATAGGCAGGTGATGGTTCACAACTCTGTGGGTAGGCCACGACAAGAGTGTTCCCCTCCCCTTCAGCTTTGGGAACCCCAGGTCTGGTGTGAAAACTTAGCCCAAATTGTGCTGCAGCGTCCTGATTTGAAACAGTTTGTGGAGTCTCATGTCCGTCATCCCAGCCTGCTTCAGGGGTTCTAGTTCCATCCAGCCATATGGCCTGGCAAACTTCAGTTGCCTCGTTTCTGGTTCAGGCTGAGTCATGGGCTCAGCTGTGGGAGGAAATGCAGGTCCCTCTGGGAGCAGGGATGTTTTCAGAGGGAAATGAGGAAAGGCTGAAAGCGCAACCGAAGTGTAGTAACTACAGACAGGAAAACAAGTTACTGCAAGAACTTCAAAAAACAGAGCTTGGGGCCAAGCTCCACCATCGCCTGCCAATTGTAGGGATTTGACCATATGAGATTCACTCATTCTCCTGATCCTGCTATAGACCCGCCTTGCTGAATGTTTCCTCCCAGAATGCCTGGTGGGACGTTTATTCTAACCCCAGATCTGGCGCTCCGGCTAACTCATGCACAGGACTAAGATTCCTGTTGCAGTCCCTTACAGAGACACCCTGTACTTCCATGGTATCTCCATAGATCCTCTCCAGAGGGCACTGGGACTGGTGTAAACCAAATCAAGCAAACTCTGGCCCAGGAATGTGTGCTCTCAGCAAATCCAGCTGGTCTGTATTACTAGTTAGGGACAATTTCTTAAAATAAGAAAACAACAGAAATCAAGGTCTTGAGTTTACAAACAATCAGTGAAATTCCTCAGCAAAGGCCTGAAGCTCAAGGCCTGAAGAGATGTGTCCCAGCCACTTCAGGCACAGCTTTGTCTCCCTTAGCTTCAGTGGGCTGTGGAAAGAGTGCAGGAATACATTTTGCAGGGCTCAGGAAAGCAGCTAGTGCTGCCATTGTATCACCCTAGCTGTTCCCAGCATTGTCCTCTACTGGGCACAGACATTCACCTCCCATCCATTCTGTGGCAGGCCCAGGCAGCTCAGTAATCAGACTGATACTTTGTTGTCCATCAGGTTTCATTCCGTTATCATTGCCAGCTGTATTCGGAGTGGAGAAGGACAAATCAGAAAGTCCGCTTAATGATTCCGGACTCCAAGAGCCCTCATCCTGTCCAGCATTCCCTGCTCTCCACCAAGCTCATGAAGAAGAATGCAGATGAAACAACTGTGTGAGTTATCCCATGCCAGGTATCCTCCGAATGGGGCAGCTGTGAGCAAGGAGAGGACGAGAGCGGCTTTTGCAGGAATGTCGGCAGAGAAGCGGATTGAATCTTTTTCTGTGGACAAGATGTGTGGAAGCTGCAGCGACCTGGCAAAACAGTCATCCCAACCAAAGGGACTTTGCACTCAGCGAGTACAGTACTTTAGTTTGAGGCAAACAAACAGATGATAAACATTTGGCTGTGTGAGATGGCCCCAAAGGGCTGAGTCCACAGAGACAGAAAGCCATATGTGTTTATCTGCCAGAATTCTTTCTTAAAACTAAATACGTTATGTGGAAAAAATCCCTCTATATAGCTATATATAAATATTATTTTTAATGGCCATGCATATTGTGTTTCAGTCCTTTTTTGTGTTGATATAGACATTGTTCTAAGCTTCAGTATAGAAGCTGGCAGCCTGATCTCACTCAGAGGTTGAATCTGGGCTGTTTCTCAAGATGAGCATATAAAGAACACTTCTCACTGGACATTGCTAAAAGTTCCCGTCTCCTTTGCACTACATGGATTTTGAGATCATCGCAGCAGGTTTTCTCCTTTGTTTTCTGTAGTGGTGGTGTTGTCCTTTTGACAAGGTTGTGTGTGCTTTTAATAATTATTATAATCCCAGAAGGAGTAAAATGACATAATACTGAATGGAGACATTTTGTATTGTAAAATACTGTAATCTTGAAAATTTCAATCTTTCAGAATATGAAAACTCTCACTTGAAGCTGTGAGCTCATAAAATATGAAATTATCACTTTATCCCTAGGACTCTGCTGTGTTCAGCTGTTGGTATAATATTATTCCCGCTAAAAATAACACAGTGATTGACTCTAGGTGCTAAGAGGATATGATCCTAAAAATCACTGCATGGGCCAGAGACAGCCCCTTATTTGCTTAAAACTACTAAAGGCTAAGAGAGGAGCTGTCGCCACCCCCAAAAGAGCAGAGTTGGGTTCTCATTGGCTAATGTATCCTGTTCATGT